TAAAGCAAAGGGCTGTCTTTTTTTCTTTTTTTCTTTTTTTTTTTTCTTGGTTTTTGGTTTTCGTTTGGAGAGGTTCCTTCTCTGAGAAGGTAAGAAGTATCATATAGGATCAGGCCGTTGAATGGACTTGGTGTGGCAAAAAAGAAAATCTGAGGGTAATAATTTAGCATGGGAAAACCCGTATCATCCGGCACCTTCCACGGTTTCCACCCCCTTGCCAGTCATTGGTCAATCAGTATTCAATATCAAACAGACATTAATAAATTGATTTCTTTTTCTTATCCTCCCAAAAAAGAGTGACAATTACATTCCAGCCCAATGCTTTTTTTGATTTCAATTTGAGTCCGCACTGTTTCGTTTTTCTTGTACATGATGTTGACTACACAGCAAGAGTAGGTATTCCTTCTTTTTCAGAATCCATTCTTGTCACCCAAAGGTCCGAAGTTGAAAAAAAAAAAGTTATGATGAAATAAAATCTAAATCAAATAAATAATTTCTTCTTTTTATTTTGTAAATAAAATGATGTTTTGCAATTTGTTGTTTTAGACAAATTGCATACAGTATAGCTTCATTATTACTAAAAGCCGAGTCTTGATCTCATAGGAGTTTCATTAATGTAAAAGATTCTTTTCATTTTGTAAATACAAGTAATTTTTAATTTTACTTTAAAATTGTGATTTTTCTTTATTATGTTTGATGTATTTTTGTTTTACTTAGGAATTAGAGTGTTTTAAATTAAATTTTATGTATTTTAAAATTAATTTTTTTTTAAATGGTGCTTGAAGTATTTTAGTAAATTAAATTTAACTTATAAAATAACACTTACTTACTGATAAATTTAATTTTTAAAATTATTTATATTTAATATTAAATACAAACTACTCATATTTGTTTTTCCCTTTTTTTCCCTTCATTTTTAGAATATAGTTTCAAAGTTTGGACAATACTTAGACTTATGGAGTAATCGAAGCTAGAATATGAGCCCAAATAAAAGAAAAAAAAAATTTAAAAACATATAGATACGTATGTTGGATGCATATGGTAAGTTGGTAATTGGAAAGGGCTTTTCGGAAAATATTCTTAAACACAGGGGTTTCGCTGGCAAAAAGGAAACTTCGAATATAAGGAGTTTGACAAACAACATGAAAAGTGAAAGTCTCTGCTTCTGCAGGTGTCAAAATAAAGTGAAGGTGTGGGAGAAGAGCCATCTACAGACGATCAAACATCACCGAAATTCTCCGTGCTTCTATCTTCTTTAGGGGTATGATTCTATCTTTTTCTTGCAATCTGCATCTAAATTCGTGATTCTCTTCAGCATTTATTTAATAACTATGCAATCTTTAGTTAAAGTTTCTTCCTTTCAAACAGTATTAATTTCCGCTTAATGTTTATGATCATGATGATGGTGGTGATGATGAATGCTGCTTTTAATTTGCTATTTACTTGTTGAAGTGTAATGGGTATTGAATTTTGATATGCTTTCTAATTTGGTGGTTTTGCAGTTGGGGAAATATGAGTGGAGTTAAGGGCAGTTTGATTTCAACTTCGGCATCCTCCTCCTCCCGTCTGTCACCTTTGGCTCCACCCTTTACCATTAAGACCTCTAGCCGCCATGAAAACATTAGTCCTTCACTGGATTTTAGCTCCCAAGGTTTTGCGTCTGGTGTTGATCATCCCTTTTCCCAACTCAGCTTGGATGCTTATCCCCATCATGCATATCACTCTGATGCTACTGCTATTGCTGTTGTCCCCTTCCAGGACTACACACCCAATTCTTATTTTAAAGACTACTCAATAGAGGAATATCCAATTCAGACTGATTTTACCTGCCATACTAGTGAATCTCCTCAATCCTATAGTAAAAACGATTTGTTGAACTTGGGAAATGTGGCCCATGAAGGTGGTATGGTGGACATTATGACTTATGGTGTGCAAGGAAGGGCCAGTGATCAACAAGGGAATGGCAGAATGCCCTTCAAGGAGAGGATGGGAGCTGGTCTTTCAATGTCTTCCAATACTCGCCCTGAGCAAGGTATTTTCCTAGGTCTTGGGGAAGTAAATTACAATTTTTGCTCCTTTTTTTTTTTCAATAATTGGAATTTTTACATGATTTTGCATGTCTGACTTGATTTAAATTGTGATTGATCTACTTGGATTTACAGTTCTTCACATTTTATATTGGACTCTTGTTACTGTCGTTTCCTACCAATTATGTTCTTGGTCTCTTTGTTGCTTGCTGTCTAAGTGTTGGTTGGCTTTAGTACAATTTAATATGACTTTTTTAGGCCAGAGTATTACTGTTTCAATAATAAAAAGGTAGGTTAACCTTGAAGATATATGAGTTCTAGCATTGGAGTTCAGTTAATATCTTTCAGGGTTCCAATCCAGTCCATTAATCTTGTTTTGGTTCTATATCATGTTTGGGTTTGATACAAGGTTGATGTGAACTTTAAGCAAGGCTATAACTGATTCAATGATGGAATCAAAACTTTAGTACTTAACTTTGGAGGAACTCTGATAAATATAGAGAGGAGACTAGAAAAGTGCATGAATGTCTAATAACTGATAAAATTTGTCAATCTTTTGTCGAAAAATAAGAAGCATTCCAAGCAGTTCTAGGCTACCATCTAATTCATGACATAGATTTATAGTCTTGGATAAACATATATTTTTTTGGCCAAACTTGGATAAACATATTGAAAATTTGACAGAAATACTACTTCTGTTTAACTGCCTATAAACAACTAAAGGGGGAAAAATCTAATTTTTTTTTTTTTTTTTTTTTGGGACCAGAAATCTTTAAGCAAGAAACATCTCTACATTTTGTTGTATTGCCAGAAATCTTTTTGATAGTGTGTTTGATTGGTTATGACAAAAGAGCCAGAGATAAATTCATCAACCTTAGCAGAGATATTGGACATTCACAGATGATGACATTCTAACCTTAGTAGATAGTTTTCTTGTATGGAGATGCATAGAATGCAGGTTTGACAGCTTGTTAGTCTCTTTCTTATTGTCTCATCTAATAACTTGATATGTGTTCCAGAATGAAAAGAGGGAAAAGGAGGATATCAGGTTGGGGATGGGGACAGAGAGAGATTCAAAGAATCTCTAGAAATGAATATCATATCATCTTGTCCCAGATGAATTGTATGCAATACTTCATGCTGATTCTTCTTCAAAATGAAATGCAATTTCAAATTTCAGTTATGTTCCAAAAGAAATTCTACATCTGTGATCACCTTGCAATAACGTCCATAACTAAAAATGATTTTTTGCAGGTAAGCATGCTCTCGAACAATTGCAACATTCTCGGGAAACACCTTCTGCTTTGCATGGCAAAGGCAATCTGACCAGGGCAGAATCTAACCAAAACAGATCAAAAGACAGGGACAGAATAAATCCTAAAAGTTCTCTTCCACCGTCAACTTCTGAGATCTACTTAGTTCCATCAGATTTATGCCCTTCTACGACACTTCATGACACACAAAGTTGTCTGTCGTGCACAAACCAGGTCACGTTCTGGAGCTACTGTGATTCAAATATTATTCCAAAAGAGAGATACCCTCCAAATATTGACTCTTATGGAACCAAACCTACAGTCTCAAATGCACCTCCTTACTATGCTTCTCCGCCTCTAGTTTTCAAATCATCAGTCACTAGTATCAAACCTTCCACCTTTGATCCTGTTTCTGTAGTGAATGTGGATTCTGGTGACAGTGGTGCACTCACCAAAATAGACGATCATTCTGGCTATCCAGGTAGCAGGGTAGAGGCTTATGGTCTACAGGGTCAAAAGTACAGTGTAGCTTGTCATGGGCAGATCACCGTAGAAAAAGTTAAAGGAAGAAAGTCCAGTGAACCTGTCCGTAATGAGGTTATAAGCCCCTTGGCAGGGAGAAAATCTGAGCTTCAGGTTGTTGTTCCCAGTGTTGCCAATGACTTGACTTTGGAACCACAAGATTCTAAGCCAAGTGTTACTGTCGATAAACCTTCCACGCTGAATGACCACAATGACTCTGATTTGGATTCCCCATGTTGGAAGGGAAGACAAGCTTATCAGTTTCCATTCCAAGTATCAGAACCTCTGAATTCCCAACTTTCTAAGGATGAGACTGTAAGACGTAACAGTCTGAATCCTTTAGCACCTCAATTTTTCCCTGGCAAAGCTAAACGAAATGTAGATGATCATCAGGGTGAACATGATGGATATAATTCCTTTTCTTTCCCGAAAACTACGGCCTTAGCTGTTGCTGTATCATCCAGAGAAGATAGATTGATGTATCCTGTTAGAGCAGAAACATGTCTTTCAGAAGTCAGCAGCATAACTGGGACTCAAAGTTCTAATGATGTCCTTCAATCTGGAAAGGAGCTTGGCCTGTTTAACAAGTCAAATAGAAGCTCATTGCTTGATGCTTCTTCTAGCAGTCAGCCTTATATTGTGGAAGATTACCATAAAGCTGATAGTCTGCTTGTGACAGACCAAGGTGCCATTGGCTTTGTGGAGGGTGTTAACGATACAGGGCATGATGTGTTGGGTTCTAGTCTGTCTTTCCATATGGCAGAAAGTTTGAACTCACCATCCTCTGGAATTGATGTCTTTTCCAGTTTTGATGGAAGATCTCAGGGTCTATCAAAATCTAAACCTAATATTGATAATGAATTATTGATTAATGCAATGCATGATCTGTCAATGCTGCTTCTACGGAACTGTTCAAACATAGACTCATTGAATGAGTCTGAGTGTGATAAAGTCCAGAATATAATCAATAAGCTTAATGTTTGTGTAAGAAATAGGGTTGGGCAGAGGGCTCCAATGCCTGATTCAGGTCACTTATCCAATTCATTTGGTACTCTACAGTCAGCTGATCACCACAAGGTACGGCATGTATGTTTACTTGTGAATTGTGATGTTGTGAGTCTGATTTTAGGATTTCAAATTCTAAATTCTGTTTTGTCCCAAATTTCAACAGAAAACAATTTGGGATATAAATTAACTTTTGACAATGGTACGGTAAAGATTCTCATTTATTTTGTTAGCAGCTAAAAGGAGAGAATTGCCTTCTCAAATTCCAGTTACTAGGGTCGAGGGTCATGGAGAGCATCGGTAGATAGACGCATATATTGTTTAAAGTACATATTTTGTTTTATTGTTGTTTGAGAGCAATTTACTTGCAATTATATGCCTCAATCAATTTCTGACTAACTGTTCTCTTAAAGAGTGCTCTGAGATAGAGCATGCTGTTTCCCTTTTTATGGTTTAAAACCATTTGTTGATACGGTACTAAGTAAGTGTTTTCATCTGTATAGGTTTCAAGGACTACTACTAATGAAATCCTAAACTGTAAAATTCCCATTGGAACCTGATTTGGAAATTCAGGTTACCAAGGACAGATTATTTTACTTGATTTAAAGAGGTAAAATAGTTGTTTCCCCATGTTTGGACAGGAAATGCTGGATTCTTTTTCTCAAAGCAGTGATGCAGTGTTGGAGAGGGGAGAGCATGTCACTCAGGTATATCATTGCCATTTTGTTGAAAATTATTCTTATAAATTTGATGTTATTAGCAGTTATCAAGGCACTAAATATTCATCTTTTGCATACAAGCTGCAGATTGTTGACAAAGCTCGTAAGGAAAATCAGGGAATTGGGGAAAATATGCACCCAAAAGGTTTGATGTATCGGAATCTATGGCTTGAGACTGCATCTGCACTATCTTTTGTAAAAAGCAAGCATAAAGCTTATTTGTAGCATTTGAAAACTGAGCCAGACTGGTGAAAATAGGAAGCATAGGTTAGTTTCTTTACCTCAAGCTTAATATATGGGTAGTTTTCATCCCTATAGTCTCTTCCCCTTTCTAACATACCATTCTCTTCTGTTGGGTCTTCAGAGCATTAAAAATAAGCTTCGTGAATCCATATTGTGAACTCGGAGTGGGTGATTGTTGGAAATCACGGCTCATGAACGTGCGTTTACGTGGCTACCGATAAATGTCTAACTATTTTGGCAGAGGTTGAGGATCCCTTCAGGCCGGGAGCCTATAACGTAACATGTAAGCATTGCTAATAAAGGAAACTGGCAAGGTTATCCGATGCATGCGCAAGTGTGGAGGCTTTGCCGCTGTAGCTTGAAGTTCCCTTCCTCAAGCCACAAGATGGAAGTTGAAAAATGACCTCAATGCACAGAGGCAGCAAAACCAGAGCTACAACCATTTCTATTGATCGACTCATAGCTTTTGGCAAAGTCTGTTTGTTGTTTTAGATACAAATGTGAGTGTGCAAGTATCCCGATACTGACTGTGTTATATCGGCAGTTTGACACACAGAAAGAAGCAAGAATACTTTTGTTTTGGTCGTTGTACTAAAGATGCATTGTGATGAACTTTCAAGCTCATTTTTTTTTTTCTATAACATTATTTTTTCAGTCTGCTAACATTTGGGCTCACTAACGCGGCGTCTGTCCAATACATATGCCATGTAAGCAGCTACCGGGGGGTGGGTGGGTTGTGGTATGGGGAGGAAGGTCGGTGGAAGAAAAGCAAAAGACAAAAGCATCATCAATGTAATGTTTCAATGATTAAGAATTTGAATGTTGTCGATGACTTAAATAATTTAATGGTAATCTCTTTTCATTAGAAGTAAGAGATTTTAAGTTTAAATCGCATAACGTGTGAGTAAGCTGAGAAAAAAAATGAGAAAAGATTGTCTTTAGTTGTGTAATCAACATCAAAACCGAAAAAAAAAAAAATTGAATGTTTATATTGTTAAATTTAAATTTTAAAATGAGTAAAAAGAGATTCAAAAATTTTAAAATTATTTTTGTTGTATATAATTCATTATCTATCCTATTTAAAAAAATATGTGGTATTTTAATAGTCCAACTACTCAAGTGGTCAAGTGATAAAAATAGATTTTATGGGCTTGAGATGTAGTTCAATGAAAATAAGAGGTATGGGGTTTAAGATGTATATATTAAGAAAAAATTATTTTATATTATATCCAAAAAAAAAAATAGACTTAGGGTCACTAGAATGTTTTTCTCTTTTCTTTTTTAGGCCCAAAACTTCAAATCTGGTTACTAGTAAACATGCAGAGCTTAATTGATAAAATTAAGAAAGGAGTTAAACACACATCGTATGGGCTCATTTAAGGTTAAAAATCCATCGTGGCCCAGAATGTATTTGGTGACCCAAAACAGTCAAGTCCAATTATTGGCCTTATAAATGTTGGACGTCCATTTTCTTTCTTCGGGCCTGTTTGGTATCCATTCCGGGGGGAAAGATTATTTTCCTAGGAAGTTAATGACCGTGTAAATATATCCCGGGAGAAGATATTGTTCCTGTTTGGTTTGTTCTTGTTGTAAGTAGGACCGTATGATAATCTCATGTTTGGTTGATAATTTTAAAATGCAACTTCAGAAATCCTCACTTAGCATTTTCGCATTCCCTTACATTCATAAGGTAGCCAATTATATTTCCACATAATTGGTTACTTATAAAATACAATGTAAAATGTGGTTATGTAAGCGGTTTTGTGTAATGAGGACAATATATAACTGATTATAATAAATTTCTTTTCTAAATAAAAATGATTAATTTGGTAGATAAAATTGAGGAAAATAATTAAAAGATAATTTTTTTATATAACATTATATATTATTTTATGACTAATTCTTTTTATTTTATTAAAACTCATGATATTTTATGCATTCGTTTATTTAATAATATGTAAAACATTGTAAAGAAAAGTTTTCTACAAAAATGTGATGAGCATAGCATTACCAATATACTTATGGTTGATTATATTCGTGTTGTAATGAATTTTATTAGGATATAATAGTAGTGCGTTAGTTGGTCAAGTTTGATTTGTGATGGTCCATTATGTTAATAGATGTGAAATATAATTATTACTTTCAAAAAAGTTATAACTGGTTATTTAAAAATATGTTTTTTTTTTTTTTCGTATTAACTTTTGGTATATATCCAAAAATCACATTGAACCCTAACTAATCTAGAGTCGAGTTGGATCAAACCCCATATAAGGAAAGTTTTTTCAATGCCTGATTTTCCGTTCACAAGAATTGAACTCTAGATCTTGTTAAAGAAAAACTGAATTCGTTACACTCGAATCAACAACTCGTTAGTTATGTAAAATATATGTGAAAATTACTTTCAACTTTTTTCTTTATATCATGGGTTAGATATATACAAGGAGAGTTTGGCCATTTCACGAGTGAATAACAAAGCAATCAAATGGTAATCTTGGTATTATAGTGCCCCATTGCAGCTCACTTTCCTGGGAAGTTTTTCTTTTCAAGTTTTGAAGCCGGAAGAAGAATCGGGCCTCAACCCTGATTCTTCTTCCTGGGAAAAGAAATTTTGCCAGGAAACCATGCAGTAAAATGTTAACAAACACAGGGAAATTTTTTCTAGGTAAAAGTTTTCGGGCATTTCCCGGGGAAGCTGAGGATACCAAACACATCCTCATCAAAAGTTTAGCTTCACCCCGTAGATTAAATAAAAACAAAGAATGCTGCACCCTATCACAAATATCATCTTATTGCGCCTAGGAAAATATATGAACTCTTTTTTATTCAAATGCTAGTTGTTATCTTTTTTAGTAGTTATGATTAGGGTAGTGTTTCTAAGCCAACTTTCTCACACATCTAAATTTTTTTATGGGTAATTTTAAAGACACACTCTCAAATTAATTAAGAATGTTAAGAAAATTAATTTTCTTGAGTGTTGGTATTAAACTTGAATTTTAAATATGACATGTAAAATAATATTTATTTAATTAGTAATGAATCTAACCCTTTAAATTTCAAGACTAGTCTCAAACTTTTTATCCATTGAGACATCCACTTTGAGACAACTACTGCAAAGATAATCCTTCCAATGTGGAATTGAAGGTTTCATATCTTTTTCTTTTTTCATTTTTTTTTTTTTTAAATATTGAGATTCACATCCAATTTGGATAAACAATGAAAAATTAACAAAGGAAATTACCAATTAGAAGGATGGGAAAGAGAAAAAGGTGATTTTATCTGTCTAATTTACAGCAGATCAGTGGTACCACAAACAGGTCTGAGTTTTGAATACCCAGTTGGAAGTACAAGGACAGCCCATGTAACTCTTCTTTCATCCCCATTCCCCCATAGTAATTACTCATACAAAAGTGGGGACCTATGCTACCCTCCCTTTTATTAGCCATGCATTTTCTGAGATTACCATTCTTTATAAATGTCATTTCTTAATCAAGCAAACCCTCACAAAAACCAAACCATCAACATGCTGATATATCACAAAAAGACTTCAACCCCATCATCATGATTATCAGTTGAAACTAGAATTTCGCACTCTGTATGTCATTAGAAGAAGAAGGGCAAAAGTAAAGAAGAATGAAGAAGGCAAAAGGGTAGTGAGGAAGTGAGGACAAAAGTTGGTTGAAGGAAGATATCATATTGAAAAGGGAAACGATTAAACGAAGGGAAGTGGGCGCACAGTTTGGGATACCTTAGCAACAATCCCGGTACTCAGAATTAATTGAGGGAGAGCAATGTGTAGGACCAAACTCAGCCCCATGCCATCCAGGTGGGTCAGAAGTTGCAGAACTTCACCACC